AAAAAATTTAGAAAATTGGGGGGGGGGGGGGAGAAATACATTTATTCTGGAAAATATGCAAATTTTCAAACATTTTACATCTTTTGATCCAATATGTAAAGCTAGCCACAGTTGGCATGCATTGTTCTGGAAAAAAGGAAAGAGGGTGCTGTGCTTAGGCAGAAAGAGCACTTAACTATGCAATTTGAACTCCAGAATGAACATGTATAGGACTTCTTACTCAAAGATGCTGTAGATGCACTCCTCCAGGTCTTTTACAAGGCGACTTAGAATTGTGCCCACACCAATAAGTTGTTGTTTATTTAGAGCACAAGATGTTTTTTTCTCCATGCCAATAATACGTAATGTACGCAGAAATGAATAAGAATTGTGTTTGTACCTTTCCCACAAACTTTGAACCGCCCCGAAACATATAGCCGTGCTTCTAGGAAAATATCTTTAAGATCTTCCTCTGGATTGTGTCTGCCCAAATGTTTGTTTGGGGAGCAAGCGCTTCTAAGTATTTGGGGTGACTTAAAGCTTGTTCTAGGGTGCACTCTCCTGGTTCCTCATTTATTTCTACATACACTGGATATTATTGGCATAAGGCACCACGTCTTGTGTGTAAACAAAGCATCAGGCTGAATGTGACTTCCCACTAGAAGCTTCTGACAAGGCTTGTTAGTGTCAACAGGTATTAATGCTGACCGAACAAGAACAATAAGCTTTAAAGGTTCCTATAATTGTGATAATAGTAAACTCATGAAATGTTTTATGTATGAAAGCGTAATTTACAAAATAGGGTACCAGATAGGCAACAAAAAATACAGGTATTACAATGAAGTGACTTCAGTGACACCTGGTGATGGAGAAAAATGTTTCATATCAAACTGAGCATTGTAACTTAATGTATTTTTTTTTATTTATTTATTCGATTTTTACCCCGCCCCTCTAGACAACGTCTACTTAATGGTACATGGTTTGTTCTGTTGTGCCAAGTTGAGTGTTCTGTCAGCAAATCATTCCTTTTGCAGTGTTCCCTACCCAAGGAGACCAGGCTAGCCCTCCCTGTTTCCTTTCCTCTGGTGAGAGGACTTGTTTTCAGAGAGGCATTTGGCATTTAAGCTGGCTTGTTGAATGGGGCTTCAATTGTTTTGGTGCTGATATTTCTTTTCTACTCGTGTCTTTAAATCATGCTTTCGAAATTGTCCTCATGCTTTATTTGCCTTTGTTTTAATTTCAGTTTACCTGCCCTCAACAATCTGGCAGAAAAGCAAGATATAAATTTAATTAAAGGATAGATTTTAACCATTTATTTGAATTTAACTGTTATATGTATTCTGTGAATTGTGCCATTGGCATCATGGAGGGTGACATATCTTGATGTCAGGTTCTGCTTCAGAGGCAAATGGAAGACCTCCTTCATTTGACCCATAGTTGGCCATGAAAAGGTCAGATTGAAAGAGTGTAGTGTATCTGAGTGTAGTACATACATGCATGCAGCCAACACTACTTTAGTAAGAAATTGAAAGCTCAGAAGCAATTGCTGCATGCAAGGGTTTGTGGACCTTTTGTGTTGGCTGAGCTGCGCCCACCAGTATCCAAGGCTATCATCTCCATGCTTCGTACATTCCCCAGTGGCAGTGAAATAGGTACTTGCATCACAAACAACTGAAGCTAAAAAGAAGTGGCGAAGGAGAGGCAGAAGAAGGGGGTCAATTAGACTTATCAACATTTCCTTAATTAAGCTCTCATGCAGCCCAATCTCTTTGTAAGTAGCTCATTAATTATTCTTTTATTTAAAGAATTGATATCCTGCTTTTTGACTCCAAAAGAACAGTTGTTGTTCGAAATGGATTGCAAAGTGTGAAAAGCATAAAGATGCTAACCAACAATGTGGATAACATTAATATTTTTTTAAAAAAAATAATTTATTTAAGCTACAATTTAAATAAAAATCATTTCATTTAAATCATCAAAAATGTCTGATTTTTAATTTTAAATCATGATTTAAATCAAATCCATCCTTCTAAGCCATCATTAAAACATGAACAGTAAGCTAAAATAAGTAGCAAAGGCAAGAACACAAATCTAGCAGTCAAAAAAGGCAAATACTGTAATAAAGTCAAATGCTTGTTTCATGGGAAATACCTGTAGTTGCTGGCAGAGCACAGATCAAGTGCTCACTGATAATTCTATGTCCTTATATTAATTCTGAATAAGCAATATTTTTGTAAAGTAGCTTTTCTAAAGGCAGTCATGTTATAGTTATTTCAGCATCATCAGCAACATGATTTGTTGGGATATTTGACAGTGTCTGATCAGACAATATATTTGCATGGTGACCCTACACAATGCTGGCATTGATTCCTTGTGCTACCATAATATATCATAGGTCTTCCCCATTTAGGAATTATGCCAGGCAGAAATTAGGCATAAGATTCTTCTGGGAGTATTCAGCTTTGTTTTTTCAGTTTTCAGTTGCGTACGCTGTTTATAGTGGAGGCTGGACTCTTTCTTCCTTTCTTTGGGGGCAGATAGCCTCAAAGTATTTGCTGTTTATTTACAACAGGGCTGAGGAGCTTTCAACCTACAGGTACTGTATTTTGTAATGCTGTTCTCATAATCTTTTACCACTGGCCATGGTAAGTCCAAAACATCTAGAAGATCAAGGTTATCCACTCCTGATCCACTCCACCTGTTTCATCTACTCTGATAGCTTTCCATTGAGTTCTGACCAGAATAGTCTCCTGGTGTTTTGGTCCTTTGTTCTGAGAGACCGAAGCAATGGCACAGTGATAAAGAAATTTCCGATCCCTATATAGTGAGTAAATAGTTTAGCAAGTGACACCAGTGTAGTGGGATGGGTAATGTGAAGCACTGGCCAACTCTTCCTCCATCACTGCACAAGAACGCTATTTTTAGCTGTTCAGGATCAGCCTAACAGTGTCTGGTTCACAGGAATGAGAATATAAGTGGAACTGTTTTTGCCACTGGAGGGAGACCACATTGCTCAAGAAAGCTAAAGAAAGAAAAGACCAGAACAAAGAAAAGAAAAGCAAAACAAAAACGAATACCAGAGTTTTATATTTAGAACAAACTCTTTTCTAGACCAGGCAGCAAGACTGATGTGCATGCAAAATATTTGAGCAGTCAGATTTGAATTTAGCCTTGTGCTTTTCACACAAAAAGTACTAATAATCATGTAGAAACATTTCCCTGCTCCTGTTGACTTCTAGCAAACCTGATTCTGTTCATGGGGCTGTGGGGAGATAGCATGATGACTCAGGGCCTTATCACATGAGGCAAATGTTCCCTAGTCATACCCCAGTTATATTGTTGTATAAAATTTCCAGTCACACGACGCACGGCCATTATCGCATCATTTTCGTGGCCAGCGGTGTATCTGAAGTTTATTTCCCTCTCGCCGGGAGGCTTCTATTATGCTCCAATGGCATATTGGAACGTTCCTTACTGGTTTTGCATGTGTGAACATCAATCCCACTGGGCAAAACGGTGAAGGCGCCATATATAAAGGAAAGGGCTGCACTGCCTCAGAAGACAAGACAGCAAATAAATCATTTCCACAGTGTATCCGGCCATAACATTTCAAAAAGGAAGAAATGGAATAGGTAACATTAAAACAAAGGGGAACGTTCATCCAGGTATCTACCACATAACCACGTTTCAGTACAACAGAGATATGGAAAGTATAATTAGAAGTAGAGATCATGGCTTTCATTATAGTGTCCGTTCCAGCTCTGCAGTCCCAAGATTTTATTATTATTATTATTATTATTATTATTATTATTATTATTATTATTATTATTATTAATTTATTATTATTATTATTGTGTGATCAGTCCCTCAGTCTCAGGTTCACTTTAATGCTGCATGTGTAAATCCAGATGCAAAACAAATAGATTACATAGAAGTAACTGAGCAACTGATTCAGCCAATAGTGTTCTATTTACAAAGATGTTAGGTTTGTAACACATGTG